ATTAATCAAGACACAACTTGTCTTATGACAGCAATATCACATTATGGACTATTGATGCAAGCGTCACAGGAGAAATTGCCTTCTCTTGGAATGGAATTTTCCCATACTGCCGAACATAAAATTGGTTAAAATCCTATGCTGCTTGGTTCTCAGAGGCGGAAACAACCATCTAAGAGCCGCAGATATTTTAGATATAGATGCAGTATAGATGAAGTTACCTGACATTTCTTTTTTCTTTCTTTCTTTCTCACTTATTTACTTACTTATTTATTTTAAAGGTTTGCATTTATAGCATGTACCCAACACTGGATTGCTGGGAGGAAACTTTGTGCTGAAGCTCTAACATAATTAGAAATAAACATGTTAAAAACTTGTTAATTACTACAACTGCTAATGCCAACACTCTGTGTTATATTAAATTCAAATCAATTCAGTTTAATTCAGTTTTAATTCAGCTTTATATTAGAAAGATGCTATAATAATCTAGGGGAAATCTCCAAAAATCATAAGACTCCATATAAGCAAGCATTTGGTAACAATAGGAAGGAAAAACTCCCTTTTAACAGGAAGAAACTTGTGGGAAAACCAGGCTCAGGCAGCCATCTCCTGCATCAGGTTGGGGTGAGGGGAGGAAGACATGGCAAAAGAGCCTGTGGAAGAGAGGGGGAGATTAAAAATAACTAACAATTAAATTCAGAGTGGTGTACAAACACATAGTGGGTGAAAAAGGTGACTGAAGAAGAAACACCCATCCGCCTAGGCCTGTTGCAGGGTAACTAAAGGAGGGTTCAGGGTCTGATGTAGCACTAACTATATGCTTCATCAAAAAGGAAAGTTTTAAGCGTAATCTTAAAGGTAAAGATGGTATCTATCTCCTGAATCCAAACTAAGAACTGATTTCATAGAAGAGGGAAAGCTGAAGGCTCTGCCTCACATTCTACTTTTAAATGTCCTACAAACCACAAGTAAACCAGCAGTCTGAGAGCAAAGTGCTCTACTGAAGTGATATAGTACTAGATAAGATGGGGCCTGATTATTCAAGACCTTGTGTGTGAGGAGAATGATTTCTCTAAGCTAATATGTGAGAAACATGGTCTCTTAATATTCAGGCCTGCCACATTAAAACCATTGGTTCTGCAAGGCAGTGTTCTTAGAAGGGCTTCTATTGGTCCCAAAATCATCTCATTTAACTGAAAGCACCTAATGAAAAAGTGGAAAGCAAAATCATCTGCTTGTTTGGTCAGAATGAAAATGTGCAGATTCGTTGGCCTGCAAGGTTAAAACATATTTCAGTGATGACATCAAAGAGAGCCATACTTGGCTTTGGTTCCATGCCACATTGTGTATAAATAAGGGCAGTATTCCTGCACCTTTATTACTGTTTCATATTACCTCTTATTGTGCAAAACATAGCCCACCTACATGCTACAATTTGCAGTACATTTAGTATTATTGACCAAGGTCCATAGGCCCCTATAATTTAAGATACCAAGCGCAGACGTCTGCTGCGCTTCACTACAGGGTCCCTAATATCCTTTGGATTGAAGGCGCTTTAGTTTCCGCTCCAAGCCCGGGACAACATTAGATGGGTAAAAAGGTAAGAATTTCCTAAATGCATATGGAGTTATCTGAAATCATGGCTCTAGTATTCAGTCCTCTCCCCTCCTCCTCCCTTTTCTCCTCCTTTCTCTCTCTCGCCCCTTCTTTCTCAATTGTGTCCCTCGCCTCTGGCAAATGGGAGTCATTTGTTTGTGTGAACTTCCCATAACCCGCAGTGTGTGAGACACTTATCATTCAGAGTGGGGCTGCTTCGTCCCAACTTGTAATACCTCTTC